TGCATCATAAACTACTGTTTAGAACACGATTCTGTATTCTTGATCACACATTGAATTACTATGGTGACCTTTCACCTGATAGGTCAAGAATTCCATTAACCAATCAGAACATTATGTGGTACTCCTGACAGTTTCAATACTTGCATTCACACAAGGCATTGTGGAAGTAAAAAACATTATTATTGAAGATGCAGTGTTTTTCGTTGACATTTATTGCACAACACAACATTTTTAAAGAGGTGAATATCACTTTTTAAAAGATAAAACGAGTACTGAAATAGTTATGATAGTTGTCATGCTGTTAATAAATGGATGAAATGTATTTTACTCATTCACACAGTAAATTTGCAAGTCTTTTTTACAGTGATAAAACTAATCATATTCATAATCTGTTTTTATTTTTTTGTGGTCATAAAACATTGCAAGTTTTGACAGAAATTTTGCTTTTTTGACAACAAATTACTGTACAATCATTTATTTTCACTGGCATTTAATTTCACTATTTTGATATTTTTATCATATTCACTGTGTTTTAATTCTACAAATTTGTCAAGGAAACAATGAGTTTTATTGTTATTTTACATTTTCACATAGATTTAATTTAGCGGATTACACTTATCAGCGAAAATAGCGGAATTAAAACCCAGTGAATAATTACGGTTATACATTTACAGTACACACCATGTATGACATCTAATGTTTTTGTAATCATTGATTTTTACTCAATAAATTTGACTAGCTCAAAAGTACCGGTACAACATAATTTTGTATTCTAAAAAACCATTTTTCAAAACTAATTATTTAAAAGGGGATAAAATTATTATGATACTCAAAATTGTAAGGGCCAACCAAGTTTTGCCATTTACTATGAAATCTTTATTACTTGAAAGCGTCATTTGAGCCATTTTAACAAAAGTTATTGTGACTTCATGTTGAAAATATCAACTACTAGAGAACGTCATGACTAAATTAAAGTGTTTTACAATAGTTTTTATTTGGATATTCCGATTAAATATTAATGGTTGCAGCAGTTGTGGCTGGGTAGTGATTTTACCGCTGTGTCATTGAAGCAGTATGCATTTGATTGCATTTAAATTTTATGTAAATAAACAAAGTATTAGATCCTCATGCGAATACATTGCTAGGTCTAGTATGGGACCCACATTGTACAACCACTGCCTTTTAATTCCACACTTATCCTGCCAGCCCCATGTACTATGACATTGACTTGACCAGATAAGGTTATAATTTAGCAATAAGGATTAAAACTAATCTGCCTAAAACTATATATGTTGAGTTATTCAATCAATGACTTGTTTCAATAATAAAGATCTTGCACCAGGTGAATTTTGTTTTAAACTACCGTGGAATACTTTATTTTCGCTTGGAATAAATTTTTGCTATTTTCGCTGAAGGAATGATTCAGTGAAAATAAAATCCAGCGAATATACATTTTTCCTATATTTTACATTCAA